AGTGAGAAGTAAGTGCTAATGCTAGCTTAGGGGAGGGGTAGGTTTCCCCAGAAGCCTAAATTTATTGATCCCAAAATTTTGTTTGTTTGGCAAAAAAATCTGTTAACAGGAAGCCACTTTTAGAGCCAACGATTTATTTTACCGACCAAAATTTTTTCAAATGTCACCAGGGTACAAACATGTCGTCGTCGAAGAGATTTGAAGGCCTATAATTTTCTCCCTTGTTCTTTTACTGCGATGACTGGAGACGACTGTTACTGTTACTAACTCACTCGCCGTCAGACTGACTGTCAAAGCGTTATTTCGGCTAACTTACTGAGTGGCTGGCTGGCCACCACCCCTTTTGTTCTTGGGTTGAATACATGAACCTTAATCAAACCGTTCGAAGTGGGCAAATAATAGATAAGGGCTTCGCGAAATCACTTAGAATTGATCAACATTTAGCATGGAGAAAAAAGTTGACTTACCGCCCCGAGTCGTGCTTATTACTTTCCAAAGTACACGTGCGCCGAAGTGCTGAAGGGTACAAATTGCCCATAAACATGATTCGTTTAGATGTTCATCTAAACCCGAGACAAGAAAAGTCAACAACATTGATTAGCATGTTTTGTCTGATGTTTGATTTGAATGTAACAAGGCTGTCGTTGGTATATATTGGTAACTGAGCCTTGGCTAAGGAGTAGGGCGGGGCCCTCAATTTTGCACTCACTGTGGTTTAGGGTGCGTTCTTTGAGACATACTTCCCGATAAGAATAAACTGGTTGACGTTACGCTCATGGTTACTTACCAACAGTCGAAGCTGTCCTTGCAACCACTCTGATAAACGCCCAGCTCTAGTTAATAAAATTAAAATAAAATTATGAATTTAAACAATGACTCACGTTCTATAACGAAAAGCTCGCGCATGCGACCAATCCTGCAAGTGATCAAGACCCTTGTTGTGAATTACTCCCTGTTTTTTGTAAGGGACTACGCAGTCAACTCTTCAATGACAAAGGCATTTACCTCTTGATCAAATTTACGCGTAAAATATAAGCGAGTAAGTTAATTTCGAACGTTGTGACAAAAAAAATAGACTAAATGGATATAATGTTTTTCACCTGAATATATTGGTAACTTAAACAACATACGTCAAGCCTTTCGCAAAAACGCTCCCGGTAAGCGATATGGCCCTCAATAGGTTTAGCACGTCGTCGCCTTGGGGAGCCCATTCTTAAAATCGACAATCTCAAGTTGCGACCACTTTTATGCAGTTTGAAATGTATTGGCAGAGATTCCTACACGAACAGTAGAGTGCAAGTGTCTTTTAACTCAGATTCTGACAGGCTTCCGTGTGAACGAAAGTGAAGTTCGATGAACGCTGTGTATAACAGGTGTCTTTTAGTCTAGCAAGAAGCTGGCGAGACAAGCTTAGCTCGCGAGGCAAGGCGATGTACTATCAAACAAGCCAAGTTTTAAAAGCTCAGCAAACAATTTGGAAAACGAAATCTCTTTGTTTCGTATTGCGTTTATGCTTGTTGTGCTTACAATGCATACATCGTCGAAACTGAACACGACAAACTTTGATTGCGAGTTTATAGTCATATTTGCATGTACACGGCGGCTTATGGAAGACCATCAGCTACCAAAAAGACGAAACCAGAAATACTTGTTCTTATTTACAAAAGCTGGCGTGAAAAGGGACCAGAATTAACTAGAATTCATGCTTTTGGGCAACAAATTAATACGTGGTTCAAAACGTTGCTTACTTACCTGACAAAAACTTGTTCAGCTTTAGCTTTAATGCAAACAAAGTATTCGGAATTGTGATTTGCCCTCTCAGTAGTATGTCATCTTTAAAGGCTTCCTAGCCCGCAGCGATTTAAAATAGCCCTACACGGGTGAAGAGGTCTCATCCCAGGCGTATAACAAAGTGAAAATAATTTTAAAAGTTAAGAACTTCCGCACACCTGGTGAGCTTTTCATATCCGCCCAGTTTAACTCCTTAAATCAAAGTTATAAAATTATTATTTGCTGACCTAACACATCTCCTATAGAAGTTGTGGGGAGACGATTTTAAATTATTGACAAAATTGATCATGTCTTTTTTAGAATACTCAGACTACACTGTTTTATAAAGCATTGCAATAACAAGGAAAAATTTTATGCTGTTCTCTCTTGGGCCTTAAAGTACTAATTTAATAGGCGAAGAGAAAATCATAGCAGGGAGAGAGACAAGGAATTTCAAACCTCAAACCTTCTTGATGGTAGATAGAGAACGCCTAAAACTTATCTCAAAACCGGGATCTTACGAGTAACGGGTTTGGCCGGGAATAAAAAATCGAGTATTTAGTTTCAAAGTTATCCCTCCCCTACTTTCCCAAAGTTTTTAATTTCTCAAAAGTTATTACCACCCCACGAAACAAACGCTTTTAAAAATTACACGTTGGTCAAGAGTTAAAAGGGGTTAAAAGAGCACAGTACATACAACTTATATATTAGGCTCGATTGCCACCAGGAAATGAGCGGAGCGGCGGATTTCGAGCCTGCTAATTCCTAGGCTGGAATTAAGAAAAGAAAGCCGGGAAATATTGTCAAGACTTCTACACCAAGGCAGGTGATGTTTTACGGCTATTTTGAAAGGAAAACAGACAGGTAGGAAAAGCTTAACTTAGCTTACAGTTACTGTAATGAATTTTTTACCTCCAGTAATTTTTGCTGTTCTTTTGTTTTTGCGTATGGTAATCTATGCTAATGAAGTTGAAACAAAGGAAAAATAAAAATTACCTGAGATAAAAAATTAAAAAATTAACTGCAACATCTACGCGTTCTTTTTCAGAACGTCCAGTAGGGACTGACTAGAAAGGAAGCAATAGTCTGAAACTACAAGCAGTGAATGGCGACTCCGGACCGCGTTCGCTTGACACCTCGAGGCAAAAAAACGGATCAACAATGTAACGCTTCTGGCAGCTGGGCGCTGGTTTACACAAGTGAACAAAACGACTTTGGTTTCTTCCCGTGGTTCTCTGCACCCACTGTCAAAGTTTCCCAGGCCATTAGGAGATGTTTTCTCTCCACATCAACACCAGATCATCGAGCATGATCCACTGACGTCAGTTTTTGTACAGGAGCAAGATTCCTTGAAAAAAAATGTTCCTTAGTCGTTTAAGTGTTCGAAAACCGTACTGGTGCAACGAGGCTTTTAACGCTTCGACGGTGACGCAAATTCTACTTATCCTCACAAAGACAACAATAGAGAAATAGTCAGATTTAGGAAATACTCACTAAAGCAATACAACATCTACTACTGTACAAAGTAGAAATTTATTCCATTCTATTGTTTTGTGGTGACGTTTTAATAGTTACCGATCTACAAAAACAGCATTTCATGAGCGAACATTTTGAGAATAAAACGTTAAATTAAATAAAATAATTATAACAGCTACTAGTCCAGAAATAGCCCGATCGTTTCACGCTCAGCGGTTTCGTTATTGGAAAAACATAAAACACAATGACCCAACAGCCTGGTTTTGAACATCGATTCAGCTCAATAGGTGCTGAGAATGGGGAGAAATAAAACCTATAGTTTTCACGTCTTTGCTTGGAAATGTAACCTTAAAAAAGAGGGTTTACTTCGCAGCGAAAGGTTGAAGAACTTTGCCCAATTTTCTCCATTACAGAGCTTCGTGTTAACGCGAGTGCACACCGATGGTCAAATAGACATCTATGGCAGAGGTATTAGCTCACGTTCTTCGACTTTTTGATGCTGATCTAGAATGAGTAAGAAGAGTCAAGGAAAAGTCACACCAAAAATTATCAAGCTCCTGGAATTTTCACCTCAACAGCTCACGCTTTCATTGGCTTCTTCGAGGTCACATGAAAATGAAACTATTTCCCGCCTGAGGGCCTCTTTACATGGAATTGGGGAACCCCATGAAGGTGAGGTAACCCGCTTAGGTGGGGTAACCCGTTAACATGATAGGTAACGTGACATTATGAGAGATTATGTGGACAGGCGGGTTACCTCACCTGCCTCAGGTCCCCCACCTCCATGTAAACAGCGCCTTAAAGTCTGAGAAAACAACTGATATTTCCCAACGCCAACAAAGGTTTCCCAGCAAAATGACATCTGCGGAAATGAGGGCAGAAATTCCAC